TTAATAATTTTAATAATCAAAAATAAAAATATTTTAAAAAATATACTTATTTGTTTTTAAACATGTCCTTCTTAGTCATTTAATGTTAAATAACAACCGCTAACCATTGTATAACCAAATAGTTATATTTATCGAATCCGCTATTTATCATCCGCTACTCACTTTCTGCTATCCGCTACCCACTTTCTGCTATCCGCTACCCGCTATCCGCTACCCACTACCGCTATCCGCTATCCGCTGAATTTTAACCGCTGTACCAAACAAGCCCTTAAGCTAATAGTGCACTTACCGGTAAACTTTAACGATCAATCTTTAAGTTGCGTGAATGCAAGTCCCGTTTCGTGCAACTACGGTCACGATTTAAGATGCACATTTGCCTAACTATGGTTGATAAACAATATCTTTCCTGTCAAAATGAAATGTCAGAGGCCTAAAAGAACAAGACAAAATGGAGGAGAAGAAGGGGAAATAGCTTTTTCTTGTAGGTTTTTCTTGTGGGGATGTGAATGGATTGAATTGTGCCATTTCCAATAGCCTGCAAAACTTGACAAATGAGAATCACCCCTTTTTCTTTTTTTCACTTTTTCTTTGTGGCATTGAGAGCAACGACGCTTTCCTCCTGAACTTCCAATCCGCTAGCTCCAAAATCTTGTTATCTTCGCTTTCAGCCCCTCTCTTCCTGTCTTGTAGTACCTAATTGTTTTTTATGTTTCAATCTTCATTTGTGTTTGAGAGAGATGGAAGAAGAGAATTTTGTGAGGCCACCAGACTCTGTGCAATACAGCAGCACCCCAATTATGTCACCGGAGATTGTTGAGATAGGAGAGGATAGTACTCTTGTGACTGGAAGCAGAGATGCAAGTGCTGATGTTTATGTGGCTGTTGGCAAAGATGACTTGGATGTGCTGAAATGGGCACTTGATCATGCTGTCTCTCCTGGTGCTCGCGTTTTTCTTGTTCATGTATTTCCTCCTATAACATACATACGCACCCCAGGTATATCAAAGTTAATCTTTAGAAGTTAATTTTGAACTTGAATGGCTTCATTATGAACAAGTCTGTTGGGTAAGTATGTGTGCCCTTTCTGGGGTACAGATTATTAGTTAATGTTGTGGGATTTCTCATTTTGATAATATATAAGAGGATGAGAAATCGAAAAAGTGGATTCCAACATCATCTAGCACCATCCAAATAGGAAAAACTTGCCCATGAACAAAACCAAAATTGAAGAAAATGGCATATCAAATGTACCTTTCCCCAGCTCAGTTTTTCGTTTCTATTGATAGTTGGAAGATTGTCAAGGAACCATCCAAGTCATGACCAGCTGAAAGTCTATCTCAATGAAGAGAACAACAGAAGGAGAAACCAATTGCAAAAATACATTCGCCTGTGTATTGACTCAAAGGTGCAGGACTTTAACAACTTTCTTTGCCGCAAATAAAAGCCACAGACCTTGCATCAGAAGAATTTACAGTGAGGACTTTTTCCTATCTGACAGGTGACAGCAGATACAATGCTTCTTGAGAGCAATTACACAGCCAAAGCTATTCTTGAACTCATTCCTGTCCCAACATCACTACCCTTGTCCTAGGAACCAAACATCCCCCCTCGTCCAGGTATCATCAGAAGCAGGTAAAAATGGTTTTACTTCTTTGTCATTTGCTTATGAAATTTGCAAATAATAAGGCACTGATTATTTCCAGGTGGCGATGGAAGAAATTGGGGAAGGGAGAGTTTATCAAGGAGAATGCTCCAGACTGTTGTAAGGTAACAATTGTTCACAATGGCACCAAGGTTACAGATGGTGAACAGATTACAAACCTGATCCAGGCATGCAGTAGTCCTCATAGAGCAGGAACTATTCGCCACTGGGAAAGAAATTACTTAGAGTGTGCATGTTTCTCAGGCAAGTTCAGTTGAAACTAGAATTGGTATGTCAATTTATGCAACAATACAATGAACAGAAACAGGAGTATTGAATGATTGAATCAATAATTTCTATCCTTTAGGTTATAGGAAAATATGCAACTAGCAGTATATTTGGTTTGAAGCAATTGAAGGTGAGAGGAATGAAAGGATGTGTTGCATGCTTTCATTTCCCTCCATTTCCTCCCCTTCCTTATTTGGATAAGTAAATGAAATAAAATTAAAAAAGAAAACAAAAGGCTTTCTTCTCCTCCCTCCCCCTCCTCTCCAATTCTTTTGGTAATTAAATACAAGAAAATTTTTTTTATAAAAAATTGATACTTAAAATTAAATAGTAATATTTCATTATACAACAACTTAAACTCAAGTAATACAGTGATAATTTATTTCTCATGAAAGTAAGAGATGCTAGACTAGATTAATGACATATGGATAGAGTGTGTGTAAAGGGATGAGAGATTTTTTTAGTTTGGAAAAAAGATGGGAGGTAGTTGCCATAATGCTGCCTCAATTGTTTAGTCCAAATTAATAAATATAAAAGTGGTGTTCATAGCGCACGTAACCCTAAATCCAAACTAAATAGCGATGCTCCATTGTTCTCCCCAAGTTGAAAAGATTGGACTCCTGAGAGTTGGAAGCAAATACCACTCAAGAAGGTTAGGATTTTTAGCATAATAATCGGCTTTAGTTTACCAGGAAGCATCGAAAGATGGACGACCTCTCCATCACACCTGCTACCGCGAAATGGACCATGTAATGCACCAAGTCAATCCAACAGGAGTTGAATTGGGGATTCTACAAAATTTTCTTTTTCTTTCAACTTGAAGCACGAATTGCTAAGAGACAACGATAAAGTTTGAAAATTTGAAGTTTGAAGATTGAACTTATCTTTTGTAATTTGCATTTGTAAAACCTTATCTCAATTCCTTTATCAGAGCCATGTAAAGCACCAAATTGATTTTTCCTTGGTCTATAGTCCTTCTGTTACTAACATACAGACAACCACCACAGCCTCTACTATATTTTTTCATCCAATCTTTTCTTCTAGTAACCATTTTCGTGTACAAATTGAAAACAAGTCATATTTGATATTTGATTTGAAAATTTTTTAATGTAAATTTTTAGATTTATTAGTTACTTAACTATTCTCATACCTTTTTTAGTAACTAAATACTTGGTAGCTATAAATATAATATGTACAATTGAATATTATATGTATTTAGTAATATATGAATATACTTGTATACTTATTAAATAATATATATAAAATAATACATATTAATCTTAACTTAAAAAAAAAATAAAATAAAATCAACCCTTAAACTATTTTGTTTTATTTAATCAAAATCAACATCCCTATATCCTTCCTCTTTCTCTTGTTGCATTAATTTGTGCCCTCTCTACTTGTTTTTCTTATACACATCACATCTTTGCCTAGACCCAAAACTCCCCAATTGTTCTATGGAATTCCTACTTGAAATCGCTAGCAGAGGGTGACTCGTTTGATGTAATCTTAATCTTCTATCAATTGCACCAATTTGACATAAAGCCCGATACTTTCACCTGCTCTTTTGTCCTTAAGGCCTGCGTCGTTTTTCAACCTGTTTCCAACAAAAACTTCTCTTCTTCTTAGATGAATCACAACTTGGATTCAACCATCGCCAGTCATCGTCGGTGAGAATTGAATGGCCTATGGGGAGAAAATCTGCAGAAAAAGAGGGTTGAAAGCAGGGATTGTGCTTTAATTAAATAAAATGTTACAATTTTTTTTTTTTTTTTGAATATTTTGTCATGGGGCCGGCTCGAACCGTTGCCTTGGGGGAGGGGGACATGAACCTTACAAGCGTGACTAGAGCCACTTGGTCCGAAGGGTCAGATTCAAATAAAATGTTACAATTTAAGGGTTAGAATTTCAAATTTTTTAATAGGTGAGACTGAAACACTTTTTTTTATATATATATAGGTTGTACAATCCTTTATTATTTTTTAATTCATTCATATGATATACGATTTGAATTTAAAACTCTTTAAATTATTGACCTTGTTGAATAATTTTAGTAGTTAATGCAAATTAAAATATAATTAAATATGTAAATTAAAATCTAATAAAATATTATTTACTACCATATAAACTTAAATAAAATGAATGAAAATATACTAAAATATTATTTATCATCCAAACTTAAATATAATACAAAATAACAATAAAGGATCAAAGTTGAATTTATAGCCTCCCTTTTCATCTCCTTTTTTTTTTTTTTAA